CGAAAAGTGCCATTTTTCGCTGTTTTTTCAATATGATGGCGCTAGCGGCAAAAAAAAAGGTGGCAAAACATTAACTGTAGTTCAAGACACCCCAAATTATGATACTACCAAATATAAAAACTTCTGCATTTATTGCGATTAAAAAATCTCTGGGTACTGGGCTATTGCTGATTGATGCATGTCACGATTTACAATACTTTCTGCAAATACTTTATTGTGATATCTTTTTAAATGATTAGTTAGGTTAGTGGTGTTGCCACTACAATTAACCTGCTTTTGACATAGTTTACAAGTGCCACCACGTGAATCTTTTATAAAAAATTTCCACGCACTGCTTCTTTTTACTTTACCCATTTTGAAACTTTCCCTCTTGCCTTTTATCGCTCTTTATATGCTACATTCGGAAATAGCTTTGGTTGGGTTCAGAAACATTACTCGAGTGTTCCCGTATATTATTTTATCTTTGTTGCAACTGTTGTGAGTGTCGGGTGATGTTTCCGAACGCAGCCCTTGAGTAAATAGTAAATAGAGATGTCAACAATGTCACGTGATGACCAGCACTGTAATTGGCTGACAGTGAAAATCTGAACTGATCACATGACCTTGCTAGTGTTTTTTTCCTAGGCTGCATTCAGAAACATCACTCAAGTGTCCCTATGCATTTAATCTACAACAAATTAACCAATGTATTGTTTGATTTATGCTTCAGTCTTAATCTTAAAATCCTAATATTCAATCAGAATACAGATTTTGGCAGCTCTATTGGCTGACGTTTAAGGATTTCAATATTAAACCTGAAGCATAAAATAAATCAGCCATGTTTAATATAAATTTTATATTTTTCGATCTCTGGTCTCAAGAATCGATTCAATCGATTAATCGAAGCTGTAAGATCGATCTAAAAAAATCGAAAATCGAATACAAAAAAATCGATTCTTCAAAAATCGATTCAAGATCGCCCATCCCCACCACCAACTGGGCTCGTCGTTGGATACGCGGGCGCGGTGTGACGCGGACACGTGCACCGAGTCGGTGCGCGAGCATGGCGAGCATGGCGCGTTGTTTGGATACTCGCACGTGGCAGTTTAAATACTCGGAATGACAGAAAGTTCTAGAAAGGCCAAATACGATTGGAGCAAAGTAGCGCTCTACCCCGTCGAGTGGCTATCTCGGAATGCAGATGGATTAGTGAGAGATCCTCTCAGTTAAGAGCAGAGAAGCGCTCTACTCCTGGGTATTTTTTGCTGT